AGGTTATATCAAATGTGACAGGACGAAACATATTTCTCCAAAATTCTTTCATACACACGAGATTCAGAAGAATGGTGACATTGAGGTTATCTCTCTGACCCACATAAAGCTAAATCACGTACAGGATACGTGTATACACGTGGAGGAAGGCTATATCATGGAAATCTGTGAAGCAATCATTGATAGCTACATCCTCAAATCATAATGCAATTATTGCAATCTATGAAGCAAGCCGAGAATGTGTATAGATTAATTTCAACAAAAGATAGTCAAACAATTTTGCATGAAGATAATGCTGCTTGTATTGCACAACTCAAAGGAGGTTATATCAAATGTGACAGGACGAAACATATTTCTCCAAAATTCTTTCATACACACGAGATTCAGAAGAATGGTGACATTGAGGTTATCTCTCTGACCCACATAAAGCTAAATCACGAACAGGATACGTGTATACACGTGGAGGAAGGCTATATCATGGAAATCTGTGAAGCAATCATTGATAGCAACATCCTCAAATCATTATGCAATTATTGCAATCTATGAAGCAAACCGAGAATGTGTATAGATTAATTTCAACAAAAGATAGTCCAACAATTTTGCATGAAGATAATGCTGCTTGTATTGTACAACTCAAAGGAGGTTATATCAAATTTGGCAGGACGAAACATATTTCTCCAAAATTCTTTCATACACACGAGATTCAGAAGAATGGTGACATTGAGGTTCAACAAATTCGTTCAAGTGACAATGTGACTGATTTATTTACAAAACCACTGTTAACATCTACATTCAAGAAATTGGTTCATATGATTGGAATGCGTCGACTCAAAGATTTTTAGTGATCAACATCAGGGGAAGTAGCTGTACTCTTTTTCCTTCGCTTAGGTTTTATCCCACTGAGTTTTCCTATCAAGGTTTTAATTAGACAACATTTATCTTTAATATTCCAAAATAATTGAACTCTTTTTTCCTTCGTTTTGATTTTTTTGTCCTTTTGAGTTTTTATCAAACAAGGTTTTAACTAAGCAGATATTTTGTAATGTGTCATTCAAGGAGGAGTGTTGTAAATAATAAGTTATTGGTGAATGACAATTGTACCCATGCAATCCTAGATATTATTACCATATATATATCTATTCATTCCCTATAAATATAGGACTTTGGTTCTCATTATAATACACACAAGTCTATTAACTTCTCTTTCTCTCTTTAAAAATAGAAAGTCTCTTAATGATGCTCTCATAATGGTCATATTTAAGAGTCATAGCTTGTTTGGCTATTTACACTCTAATAATCTTTATCATTTTCTAATATATTGAGATAACTAAATTATTGCTTAGTAAAGCATGTACATAATCCATCATTTTTAAGATGACTCAACTTTGTAACAACTACCAGTCACAAAAAGGCATTTTTTGATCTAATTTTCCTTCGAAAACTCGTTTTTAACAATTCATTCTTCCAATAAAATAATTTTGCAAGTGGACACAATTTTTTTTTAACTTTTAGCCACACATTCTTTAAAAAAAATCAATTTTCACAAGATTTATTCTAAAAAAATCTATATCAACCAAACCCTAAATGAACTTGAAAATAATTCCAAAATGCAAGCTTCCAAGACTAAATGGACTAACCTCAAGTGTAGGACCCGTAGGTACCAGTAATGGGACCCTAGCGATCCTTTGCTCCGATCGCCAGTTGGTTAGCTCGATGAATAACTCTTAACAAGTGATGGAACTCATCTAAGGGTTACATCGATAAGGCTAGTCTTTCCTTTTAAGAGAGAAAAGAGTATAAACCCCAGGGAGTTCTTTCCTTTTCACCTCAGGGCATATTCAAAAAAAGGAGCCCAAGGAAAGCTCATCAAGAGAACGAGTCTTTCTCTTCCAGGCTGCCATAAGGCACTCTCGGGTCGAATCAAGCATCTAATGACTACCAAACTAGTGTAAGACAAACGAAGATAAAAAGAGTGCTCAAAATATAACCTTCTGCTTCTCTTTCTTAATACGACGGAAAATTTTCACCTGTGTACCGGATCGGAATTGGAAAAGCTAAACAACGATTAACACACATGCAAAAACTAAAGAGAGTTGAGCAGTGAAGAAGCCTACACACAAGACCACTCGAAACAATACATTAAAGTTTGATCGTCACGCATAGCATATGAAATGCTGCATAAACCGAAACGTTTCTTCTTTATCAATTTGAGATAGAGGTTGCTATCCATTCAGAATTCCGTAGGTGGTTTCAATCTTACAAGTCTCTTGATTCTCTCTTTATCCGTGTTCTCCAACAACCCCTTCAAAAAAGAAGTGTGGCAATTTCATAAGCAAATACTACTTGATCTCCACGAAATGAAATAATGGACAGCAAAATGCGAAGGTGCAAACAAAAAAAAAGAAAAAAGATGTCTACTCGGTTACTGGCCAACTCAGTGATCGATACCTGAATATGCATTAGAAAGCAAACCCTTTTTTGCCCATTATAGCACAAGTGGGGCAAATTTTCAAATGTGAAAGTTATTTCGCAGCTTTTCATTAAACAAGAACTTGTTTACATGCTTGAAAGTGAGAAACGAATTCACATAAATTGCAAGGTACAAAATGCTCCATAGTCTTCAACAACTTTAAAATTAAAAAAGTCAATAAAGCTCAGAAAGAGCTGAAACTACGCAAGATGATCCAGTTATTTTCCAATGAGTGATCAAATAAGTAAAGGAATTGACTAAGTTCATTTAAATTCACTTATGCTAATAAGTAGTAACAGTTGCACAAATGAAAACAATACACTAAAGGCCACCTCAATGAGATTGAGGATGCTAAGGATCTTCGCATTACAGGTATATAGAACCTGATATAATTTAATTCTGAGTTGATAAATGAAAGAAATGGAACTCACCTTCCACACAATCTCATCCAAGCACAAGCAAATCTTCCCGTATTTGTCAAGAAACAGGCGCTCTGTTGGAGGTTTCCCACATACATCTTTTAGGGCTGAGGTTATAACAAAGATAGCTTCTGCCACTGTTAAAAAGAACCCAGATTAAGCCAAAAGTATGAAAGTAATGTAATTAAAAACCCTACACGCCTGTGGGCTACAAGGGTGTAGCTCATGTAGCCATCAGGCAACAGGTCACACGATCTCAAAGAAAGGCATTGCAACCACATTCTTTAATGAGATGCACGTGTTGACACTAAAACATATATGTATAGAATGACCACTTCACAAGGTTTACACGCATAATAACCATGTAGCACAAGATTCCATGAAGTATCTAAATTATATATGTTCTGATAAGCATATCCTTAGGTATTTAATAGAAATTTCATTGTAGCCGTCCTTTCCCAGTTCCCACATCTCAAAATAATTTCACAATAAAAAACATCTAATAGAAAATACTTACAGGCAAGTTCATCATACTCATCCTTGCCCACAACAAATATACTGACATCACCAAGCACTGTGTAAACAATATAAACTGACCTGCATAACAAAACAAATAACGTGAATGCAATTTTGAATAGTATAGATATGAGAAATATTTAACAGACTTTCTTCTCCCGTATAAAGACTAGTATAAGCTTCATAGATGAAAAAAAAATGCATTGTTTTTTCTTAGTTCTTGCTTCATGCATAATATATGGCTCTGCATTCTAAATCTTAAGGCCATTTGATAACAAGCGTAGTCAGCGTGACTCATAGAAAGCAACAACCTTAAGTCTTCCACAAAATTGTTTAACTGCTTATTCTATCATATAAAACACTTGAATTCCTCCAGGCAAACAGGAATGAATTCTGAAAGCTAGTCTGCAGAACTTAAACTAATGAGGAATAAAATAGACCAATATAATGGACATAACCAAGAAAATGAGAAGCACTGGATATACATAGTTGCTACACAGTGAGAATATTCATGATTCAGATATTGGAGAAACTATATATCCTCAGGGTCATCAAAATGCACGACACTCGTTGTAATACCCCAGACCAAGAAAGTTTAAGAGATTTGATAGGTACTACTCATACTAATAAGGTGCACCTTCTTTTCCGGAAGTCCATCGTTGGAAACTCCACAGTTAAGCGTGCTTGGCTTGGAGCAATTCTATGATGGGTGACCCCCTGGGAAGTTTTTTCGGGGAGTGTGCGAGTGAGGACAAAGTATGCTGAAAAGACCCATGTTGGTACAGTGAGGACAGTACGTTGTCGATCTAACGGCCAGGACAGCCCGTTAAGTGGGACCCGGGTCGTTACAAATGGTATCAGAGCCGATTGCCAGCCGGAAAGCGGGAACTAAGTGCTATGCGGGACAAAGTGCTACGTCATGGGCGGGAGCCACCTCTTGAACCTGTAGGAGCCACCTCTAGAATCCCAACGCCTGGCAACAGATCCTCAGATGGATCAAGCGCGACGAGGACGTCGCGAGTCTAACGGGGGGTNTTGGATGCGACTCGAATTTCTTGTTGAAGTGGTTGAAGAATTCTAATTGAAGTGCATGTTAAGAACAATTCAGTTTGGAATGCTATTGGAGTCCTATGTCAAGTTGAAATTCTATTTTGGAAGCTCATTGGGAGTTGAAAATTGATATTGATCTTGAAAAAGAGTTCGGGATGAAGAAAACTTGGAACGAAAAGAAAAGAAAAAAATAAAAATTTTGACAGAACGCCCAACGCCGCAGCTCGGGCATGGGGCGCCGCGGTGCCACTTGTGTCTGTTATGGGATTTTCGCATTATTATCTCATTTTTCATTTTTGGACTCGATTTTTTGGCATCTTACTTCATTAACAGATCTACTAGGAGGATTTGGACATCCCCTACGTATTTTCTATAAATATTAGACTCTTGTATACAATTTCAAAAGTGTGAGAAAATAAATTACTAGAATTATAAGATTCATTGTAATTTTTTCTCCTCAATTATTCTTCAGTTAAAAAAATCTCTTAATTTCTCTGTCATATTTCTTGTCTTTATTATTCTTTTACTTAATCTAATATTTCATTATTTGTCATATAACTTCAATAATTTATTCCGATGGTTGGTTTTATCAAGTGGTATTCAAACAATACATAATTCTTGTATTTCCAACATTGCTAACAGCGATCCGGGCATATTAATATTTCTTCTAACAAGAGATATTTTGGTTGTTTCACAACACATACCTACAATGAGAAATACAACAACGTAACAAAAACAACAAATGTTTAACATACATATTTCAAAATTACATTTTTTGGTCACTAAAGGTAAGAATGACACGGTAAGAGTACCACATGAATATTTGATAATCATTTATTTTAGAACATTTCCCTTTTCCCAAATGACAAAAACAAAACAAGCATTTAATTAGAATGTTAGAACACATTTACTAACACCAATTAGCATCTTATATTCTACTAATAAAATCTATCTCTTGAATTGTCAAAAGAGTTGAAGAATTATTCATTCACTAATATAACCCTGAAAAAAGGGGTTTTTCAGTTATATTATAAATTTATATTATACATAATGATGAAGCTAAAATATATTTAACCTTAGGAATTTCTTCCTCCTCCGTGAAGAAAAACTTGACCAAGGCCTCACTTAAGTTGGTTTTGGCTACCAAGACTACAAACAAATCCGAATGGTGCACGCATATATATAATTTAGTGGTCAAGCACAAAATGCACAAAATTTCTTGTGGGGATATAGCATTCTATTTCAGCTAAATCTCTTCAAACAGACCAGTTTTCAAAGGCACGGCATCCCCCTGTCCAACTCCAAAACTCTACAGTAGTGAATGGCAAATGTTCAAGCCATATACAGTTGGTAGTTTCAATATACTTATAATTTGGAATTATGATGCAGAGTTTGAATATAAACGTATATGCATAAAAGAACGCAACCACATGCACGGCCATTAACAAACAAGCATAATATTTGAATATTCTAGCCCTAAAATTACATACAATAACCAAGTAAAATGGAGTAATAGCAAAACATACTTGTGGGATGCAACAAGAAGCTCCTCATTCTTGACACCTTTAAGATTATCAGCTCCGAGTTTCACTAAGAAAGACCGCCAGTGCAAACGCTCCTCAGCCGGAACTCCATTGAAACTACACCGCCCCAAACCCAAATAAATAACTAAATAAATCTTCAGGTTCAATTATAAATAACACTTTTTTCACTCAATTACTTGTAGTCCCATCACATCAAGACAAACGCTGAAAATAACAAAAATTAGTCCTCTTCTAGAAGGAATAGTATTGGCTCTCAGGAAATGTGTAGTTAATAAATAGGTAGTACTTGTTGTTAATGTATTGTTGAAATTAATGTTTGACTTTCACCGAGTGCAAAAATTTAATGTTTGACAAAATCTCACCTCAAATCTTTTCCTTAGCCCTTTAAAAGTTAATTAGATACATAAAGCTTGATTGATAAAAATACCAGCGCTTTTCAATTACTGTAACTCAGATCGAATAGGAATAAACCTAAAATTGACGTAAATTTGAAATAATTTACAAAATGCAGTGAATTCTTAACATGTGATCTTTATTTCTTAAATTTTCAAAATTCAAAAATTCTCAAATGTCTTTTAAATTCTCAGAATGTAATTCTTGATGTTAATCTAAATTATTAAAATTCTGAGCAGGAAATATCAATCCTAAAATTCTAGATCTCTATATGGACTAAATTATTTATTCTCAAAGTACTTAACATTCAGACTAACATACAATCGTAAAGTGACCCAATTCAATTTTTAAGAGAAAGAAACTATATCCTACAGAATGAACTGAAAATTGAACAAATCACGAATCAAACAGCCCAGATCGTGAAACAAAGTGGAGAAGTGACAGAAATGAAAATCGGAAATGTAAAGATTTTACGCAATAAACTTGTGTGTGTAAGGATTAATAAATGGATTAATTTTACCGTTCAACGAGAATATTGCCTTCAGAATTGGCGATCAAGACAGCGAGCAGCATTTTCGTTCGACGAGAATGTCCGGCGGTGGGCAGGTCTCATACACTACTCACGACTTTAGCGGATGTAATCGTGAAACCGTGTATAACACGACTTTTGTTTGGAATCTTGTTCCCCTCTTTAGGGGAGACGGTTAAGTTTATTAAAATTTTAAAATAACATTAAAATGTTTTTTTTGTATATAGTAAAAGTCAATATTTGTCTAAATCGCATGTGTAAAGTATCTTAATTAAATAATAAAATAGATTAACATTCATATACTAATTTTATATTATCAATTTTTAGCTTAACTTAGCTTCAAATTAAACTAATGTAGATCCCAATTAAAAATTTGGTAAAGTTTAATGACAACGCGATCGCATAGGCATCAATAAACGCTTACTGATTTAATGACGCGCAATCGCATAGACATCAATAAACGCTTACTGGTTTTGAAATCTCCTACCGTGCAATCACTCCAACATGGTAGAGGAACTAGGGGTGGGCATTGGGCCGGGTTTGGCCCAAAACTGACCCGACCCGACCCGACATAATGGATTTTGGACTCTTTCATGGCCCAGCTCGACCCCGTTCGAATCAGGTCGGGTCGGGTCAAACTATTTTTTTTTTAGCGCTGATTGAGTTAAATATAAAAAATACTTTTGCCATTTCACTGAGAAATTTTCAACAAAATTATTTCAATAGGACTATTATTTTCATACACCAAGTTCATGAAATCAAAACATATGTGTCTCCTCGTAATTTCTTTATATTGCAATCCCTTAAGTATTACAACTGCTTCAAGAAATACGACTTGTTTGTGAAGAAATTTCATCCTTACATAAGATCTGAATGCCCAAATTCTGGGAGAAAAGCAGTTTACCTTGACATGTTTAGCACCAGCATTGAATGCAAACAATATCTGCATGATCATAAACATGACAATAAGTTTTTTCTTTCTTTTGGGTTGCTCAATAAAGACCATCTATCCTATACTTGTATTAACTGATGAAAAAAACTAAAGAAGTTCAGAAGCCTGAGGTATCAACCTTCCTTAGAAAGGACTATTGCTAGCAAACAAGAAAATTCAATCCAAGAGTGACAAACATTAAGTAAAAACTGATTAAGAAATATTTACTCCTATTGATTTTGAAGGATATTCTTGGACCAAACACTCTAAGACCTGAGTAGGAAGAAAAGAAAAGCATATTGACTTCAAAATTTTCCAGCATTGAGGAGCAAAGAAGGCAAGAAGATAGAAAAATTCATTCTTACATTGAAATGCCCACCCATATTTCCTCTGAGGAACGATTATTTTGGCCTCAACTCAAATGGGATGTTGGTAGATTTGTTCAAAGTTGTCCTATAGGTCAATGGACCAAAGATCAAGCACAAAATATCAACTTTTACAAGACCTATTCCAAAGAATATTTAGCAAGATTTGACCGTGGAATCTGTTCTTGGACAGGGACAGATCCAGAAAAAAATTGGACACGAGCTAAAAAAAAAAAATTACATAAAAAATTTTTTTTTACTAATTTTTTTTTTTTTAACTTAGGATTTGTGCTGGAGGGACGGACTGTAGCAGAGGCTGGCCAATCCCTAGATCTGCCCCTGATTGGACTCACTCAAACTCAACGTGGATATGATTTAGTTTTTGTAATAGTTGATTAGCTCTCCAAGATGGTTCACTTTATTTCCTGTAAGAAGATGTTAGATATTTCTCATGTCTCTTATTTATTTTTCAAGGAGGTTGTTTGTTTTCCTGATGGTTCCTAGTCCTATTATTTCCGGTTGGGATGTCAAAATTTTATGTTATTTCTGTAGGACACTTTGAAAGAAGTGTAATTATTCATTAAAATATAGTAGTACCGGTCATCTACAAATCAATTGCCAAAATGAAGTAGCTAATTGTACATTTGGTAACATGATTCAATGTAGAGCCCATTTGACATGGTTTTTAAAAAGTCAAAAGGAGTTCTTAAGACTCAAAAGTTGCTTTTGGATCCATTTGACTAATTTTATGAAAGTGACTCGGGTAGTTAGGAAAGTTTTTAGATGAAGTTGGTTTAATGTGACTTCCTCTAAAAACACTTTCGAAATGAAAAGTACTTTTAAAATTAATTTTCAAACAAAAATTAAGGTAGATTCTTTCAAAAACTCATTTACAAAAAGCAAAATAAAAAATCATGTCAATGGGTCCATATTTGTCGTGATAAGCCTAAGCAGTAGAATGCAGCCTTACCAAAAATTAATTGAATTTGCTTTCAATAAAACACCAAACTGTGAAACTAAACCAGCACCCCTCAAGACAGTATATACGCAAGTATCTCGACACACTATAGCTTTAATTTCTTTGCCTCCAACTGTGATGCTAGTATTACAGTCGAAGAGTTTACAGAAAATGTCCAACAAATTCATGAAGAGGTTAAGAACTTAGAGGCAACCAATTTCAAATACAAAACTGCAGCTTATCAACATTGCGTACTGTAATTCTCAACAAAGATAATTTTTTATGGTGAATCATTGAAAAAATAGGTTTTCAATTGGACCGTATGTTAAATTAAAATATAAGAGGTGCTAGTAATTGAGTGTGATCCAAATTCTTTGTTGAAGGTAATTGAGAATTCTAATTAAAGTGCACATTAAGAATAATTTTATTTGGAATGTTATTGTTGAATCTTATTCAAGTTTACTTAGTGAATTATATTTGAAGTTCTACTTGAAAACCAAATTGGAAGTTGGAATTTGCGTTGAATTTGAAGAAGACTTCGGAACGAAGAAAATGTCTTTGGAAGGTATTTGGATGGAGATGGGGCGCCAACCCCGCGCCTAGGCGCCTCCAATGAAAAAGAAGAACGAGGAGCCGGCACCCGGAGAGTGGCATCGTGGCGCTGCAACACTGTTTTTCCTCCTACTTCATTTTGGACTCCGTTTCTTACATTCTATTTCAACTACGTACAATTCTATTATTAGGGTTTGAACGTCTCTTATTTGTTTCCTATATATAGTTGGTTCTCCATTATAATTTAGTAAAAAGTTAGAAACATTGTAAACACAAATCTTTGTATTCTTTATCCAAAATAATAAAAATATTCATTCTCTACAAATTATTTGTTCTTATGATCAATTACTTCATATTGTGGCTATAATCTTTTATTTTCTCTAACAATTGGTATTAGATTAATCAGATTTCACTTTTTACAACAACCTGGCATCAGAGTTTTTTTGTTTTGAAATTCTTATGAAGATCGAGCTTTTTTTTGGTGATGACAACTATGAAGTACGGTATTTCGCTATTGGATTGCAATACAAGATTCTCTTTCTGACAAATAAAGATGCTAGCAGTGCTCACATAGATGAATTTGGACGATGTGTTGTTGGGATTTGACAAAATACTCACAGCTTGGACTATAGAGGAGAAACAACGGAGGGGTCTAAAGGTCCTATCTCAAATACATCTTCATCTTTCAAATATTATTCTTTAAAACGTTTTGAAACAGAAGTCAGTTGCTACATTATAATTAAAATTAGAGCAATTATGTATAACGAAAAGTCTTACAAGCAAATTGTATCTGAAGTAAAGTCTAAATTCTCATCGTATGACAAAAGGTAGATCTCTTGAAGATAACTTAACTACTTTTAAGGAAATCGTCGTTAATTTGGAGATCTTAGAGGTTAAATATGATGAAGAAAATTTGGGATTGATTTTATTGTGTTTATTGCATGCTTCATACTTGTCTTTTAGAGAAACAATGTTATATAATCGTGATACTCTCACTATCTAAAAAGTCTGTGATGCTCTATACTCAAAGGAAAAATGAAGGATCTCGTAGCATCTGAGGTCTTGGAGATGGCCTCATTTTTATTGGTGGTTGTTAAAGGGGCAAGTCAAAAATCTAATTTCAAATTTTGTAATCATTGCAAGAAAAAGGAACACTTGATAAATGATTTCTATAAGTTGCTAATTAAATTAAAATTGACTGGAAATGAACAATTAGAAACTTCAGAGGAAGCAAGTGTTGCAAAAAAAATCACAACAGTGATGAAGAGCTTTTACTTATGTCTAACTACACTCCAAACCTGACGAGACTTGGATTTTTTTACACATTTGCACTTTTCATATGACTCCTAATAGGGATTTGTTTTCAACATATGAAGAAGTTTCAAAATGTATTGTTATGATCGGTAATAATAGACCATGTCGAATAGATGGTATTGGTCGGGTTAGAATAAAGATATTTGATGAGACGGTTATAACACTTGATGCAGCGAGACACATTCCAGATCTAAATAGAAATCTTATCTCCTTAAGTATTCTCAATTAAAAAAAGTACAGGTGTACTATTGAAAGTAAAGTCTTGAACGTTAGTAAAGGAGTCCGTATTTTGTTAAAGGGACATAGAAAATCCCATTTATATATATATTGCATTGTTATATAGAATCTTTGAGCAATCAAAATATTTTAAAAACTCGGGTGGATTTAGAGTTGGATTCTGTACCATTGGAGTCTAATTTGTGGTCTTCTTTAAAAAATACATCTTAGTTGAATTTAGAAGTTATGGGTAAATCCGCCTTCCCACCATCATTGACCGTATCATTGTATTTATTTGTATGAATAAGATCCATTTTTGGCTATAAGAATTCACATAGGTACAATTCTGCTGATGTAGTTGATGTCTTGAATGTGATTGAGGGTGTTAATTCTAGTCAAAATCCTTCTTTTGATGCATTCAATTGTGATTCAGTTACACGACTTGTTTCAGCCTTATTTAATGATTATTAGATCATTTTTACTCCTAGTTGGGGCAACAGAGGTAGAGAATATTTTCAATTGAACTTTTTTTATGGAGAAGGTTGTTTGTCTTTCTCATTGAAGAGTTTGTCTCCAGGTGGAGAGTTTTCCTTTGGAAGTTTTGTTCTTTACATGAAATTTGTGTCAGGTGAAGATTGTTAGAATATGGGTGTGAATTGAATTCTTTGTTGAAGATAATTGAGAGTTATAATTAAAGTCACTACAACA